AAGCCATTTTATAGTTTTCATCCTTGGCATTAAGGGAGGATGGAGTGGGAAGTGATTCTCTTCCAACTGTAAAACTTTAAAGGCATGGGGAGAAATGGACCCTCAAGTAGAATGACCCAGAGAGGTTAATGTGTAGATTTTGATTCAGATTTAAATTTGGATCTAACGAGACCCTGGAAAGAGGCTTTGTATAAAATAATGTATAAAATATCATTTTTTGTAAAGCAAGGGCAAGGTTAGCAGATCCAAGTGGCGTGTATTTTCATTTCTTTGGGTTGGAAATGTCAGGTTTTTCTGAGGTCTTTATTGGAGGGTTTGATAAGATAAGGATTTTTGGCTACAGTGGAATCTGATAAACAGATTAAGAAACATGGACCATCATATGTATTTATTTAGTTTTGATTTTGAGGGTTGGTTCATGCCTCCAGAATTCAGGATTCTTTAAATTAGTAGCAGGACATTTGAAGTGGCTATAAAGAAGAAATATGAACGTGCAGGGAGTGATGTTTTCTCATTATTCTCCAAATTGGTTCCTTTATATATGGCTTTAACATTCAAAAGTGTTCATATTTATAATAATAGTAATTCCAACACCATAGTGTCACCAGTAATATATAGTGGATCCACACGGAAAGCTCCTTTCTGTGAGATATAGATATATAAAAAAACCTAGGCTTAAGAAATTGCTTAGGGTATTTAGTGATGAGTCTTTCCATTATGAAGACTGGGGTGGGGGGAAATTCCTTCATATTAAATAGAGAAAGAGGTACTATGTTAAACTGCAAATGAATTGAATGGAACATTTTGTGACTAAGGGTTTTTGTGAGATGCAGTGCTTTCTCCGCATAACAGTAATGTATAGCCGTCCTCCAAAAGCACAAAAATTCAGCATGTATTTTATTTATTTAAACAGTTATATGTACAGTGATGAGAAATATTATAGGCATTTAATGAAGAAAGCATAGCTTTAAAAGATTTAGACCTTTAGATCCTCTGTTGACCTTGACAGAATAAAGGATTATCTCATAAGAAACAGGCCAGTATATATCAAGATTAGCGATTTGCAACTTCCTTTGATACTATTGCTCTTATTAATACTCTTTTTAAATCACCCAGTTGCTTATACTGTACAGGATTCATTTAAACATGGGCTGAAAGCATGCACAACTTAAACTATTACTGTATATATTTGGAATATATATTTAAAGTACTTTTTGCATTTATAAATGTGGAATATTTTTTTTAAAGCAGTTCTGGATAAGCGTTTATCATTCTCAGCGTTAATTTGATCTACTGTCGTAAAATACGGTTAATCAGATCCCCCTTTGTAAAAGCGGTCCTCTGGGGACTGTTCAACTCCACGTCCCATCATCTCTTTTCTATGGGTCAAGCTATGTCTGGTGTGAGTTGAAATTGAACAGTTCTGTGTCCATCTCCTGTTAAGCCCAGGTTTAGGAACTTTAGATGTCTTAGGCCATCAGTCTCGTAGGGAAGAGGATAGGGAAGATGGAGAAGAGGGAATCCTTTTGAGATAAATCCACCTGCGTCTTCCCCACAGAGACACTGATACCCTTCTTACTCTCCAGAATGGCCTGTGTGTAGTCATTCTTCGCCCGCTCCCTTCCTTTCCTGGAATAGCCTAAATGGCTTCTCTATGTGTGAGTTTCGCAGCTGAGTTTCTCCCAGCTAGCGTGTTACAGAAAAGACCTTATCTGCCATCCCACTGTCTGTGGGAACACACAAAGTGTGAGCTTGTTTTCACGGCAAGCAAGCAAAAAAGAAGCCTCTGCCGATGCTCGCACTTGGCACGAATCTCTAGGTCTGTCTTAAACATTTAATAATTGCTATTTTCAGTTTTCAGATAACAATTTGGGGGAGAGAGGGAGGGAGAAAAAAAAATTGGACAAGACCAACTGCTTTCTTTTGAGGAGAGCAACTGCCCAGAAAATCATAGCCTTACAAAGGAAGTGTTTGTGTTCTCAAAAAAGTACAGCCAAAACTCTTCCTTCACATCCCTGGACTTAAAGATATTGAGAATATTCCACTTTTAAAATATTTTCATATTCCTCAGCTGGGTCTCTTGCAAACCTTGAAGCTAAAAGGTTGGGTGTGAAGAAGAACAGAATGAAGGAGTTGGAAGGGACCTTGGAGGTCTTCTAGTCCAACCCCCTACTCAAGCAGGAGAGTGAAAAAGAAATGAAACTTATTCTATAATGGCACTTTTGTGGTTTGGGTGATGTGGTATAGGGTTTCCTGCCTAAGCAGGGGGTTGGACTAGAAGACCTCCAAGGTCCCTTCCAACTATTCTATTCTATTCCATTCCATTCCATATTCTATTCTATTCTATTCTACTGTATTTCTATTCTATTCTATTCTATTCTATTCTATTCTATTCTACTGTATTTCTATTCTATTCTATTCTATTCTATTCTATTCTATTCTACTGTATTTCTGTTCTATTCTATTCCCTATTCTATTCTATTCCTTATTCTATTCTATTTTATTCTATTCTATATCCTCTATTCTATTCTACTCTACTCTATTCCACTCCACCCCATCCTATCCTATCCTATGTCTGCTTTCTGTTAATCTTGGCTAAAGGAATACGTTTTAAATAGGACTGACGCTACCTTCAAACACGGCCCATTATCATTGTCTATGTGAAGTGTGATACGTTTGACAACTGCGCCCTAAATCCACGGCTGAGCCAGGCTCAAGGCTTTCTGAGATTCCCAAGCAAACTATTTAAACACAGAACAGAGAAAATGGGATTTTAAAAACGCAGGCTGTGGTTTTGAGTCTGAGCCATTACGAAAGGTCAAGCAAAGGAGCAAAGGATTCTGGGCTTCGGTGAATTCTCCTTTCAGCTTTCCAGGAGCGCAGACTCTATATATGCTATTGGGTTTTTTTTTTCCTCTTGTACTTTAGCTTTAAAATCTTAATGCTTCCCAAACCAGCCTTGTACAATTATGTTTTTCTCTCCCCTCTCCCTCTTTGAATTTCAGAGGTGGAGCAGAACTCCTCTTTGATGGGGTAAGGAAACACCAGGTGAATTTGCCCCACCAATCTGAACCTTGTGAGTATTGATTGACCGATAACAAGTCCTTGCAGATGTTATTTAAATAACAGCCTCTTTCAGCAGTCTTAACGCACAAACGTACGCCAAGGCAGCATGAAAGCCATCTTTAAAATTCCACCCAGACACTTTCATGGAGGGCCCCATCCTACGGGAAGCACGTTCGTAATGACAATCCCTCACAAAGTAAAATGAATGATTAAAAATATACTCAGATTCTAAGGTGCCCAATGGGTTCCTGAAATGCTGTGATGCCCAATGATGATTTTTGAAGTTGCTGGGAGAACTTTTTTTTTTTTCCCCACAGAGGAAACTTCAGAGACGAAGTAAAGAGATTTTCTGATTGTTTCTCACTGTGCTTAGAGAATAGTTTTCACTCTTTCCCCCCTGTGCTAGCTTGAACGCGGACAAAAAATGAAACCGGTTTTTATTTTCAAACACTTTTTTTTTTGGTCCAGGAATTCAGCATCGTCCAGCTTTCCCAGGCTGAGCAAAACCTGGGCACCTACACCCCTTTTTCCCCCTTCCCCTTCCGTTAACATGCAAGGGGCTTTTTCTGGCCTGCTATCCTGTGAGTTGCAAACCACGGTTTGCGGCAGTCGAGCGTGGAGCTGGCGGAGAAAGAGAGACCATGTTTGTGATCCTGGTTTTTTTTTTTAATCCAGGCCTTTTCCTGCACGGATTTTCTCCGGAGCTGGGCCTGCCGGCGGAGCCCAGCAGCGAGGGGTGACGAATGAAAGAGGCAGCTCAGTTTGGGGGTGTCCCACATACAGAAGGGAAGAGCGGAGCCCAGAAAAGAGAGGAGGGGAGGCGGAGAAAATATATATATATATCTCTCTCTTAACGTTCCTGTTAGAGACCAAGGAACAGATTCACAGCCCGTGAGGCAGAAAGAAGGAACCAACCGTTAAAATCCCCCTCCCCAATCTGCTTCCCTTTGCAGGGGTGTCCCCCACCCCACTGAAAAGGTGACAAGAATGTGTGGAGAGGGAGGGGGGTGGGTCCGGAGACCTTTAAACTGCACAGCCTTCACTTTGCATAGTTCACCCTGCCAGCTGTTCCTTTCTCCTCCCGTGGCCCTCCCTCCCCGCCTCTGTGTTTGCAGAAGCCGGGGTGGGTGGGTGGGGGGGTGCTCCTGTGCAAAATTGCTTTTGAAAAGAGCTACTTTCTGCTTAATTAAACAATGGGCTGAACCCCCGCCCCACACACATCTGTAAAGGCCCTGGCGCTTTATCCCTCCAACTTTATCCCACAAACTGCTCCATTCTTGACTCTTTTCATTTGTAAATCTTCCCTCTCCCCCCCCCCTCTCTCTCCCCTTCTCCCCTTGCCCTCCCTCCTTCCCCAGTCGTGTCCCTTGCCTTTCTCTCCCCTTTCAGATGACTGTTGAGAAAGCTGGCTGACATTGTCCTGATTTTTTTTTCTTTTTTTTTTTGGTGGGGGGGAGAGAAATAGTTTGAGAATGGAGCTGTTTGCCTTAAAGGGCCCTTGGTTTGTCTTGTCTTAAAGGTCAGGGCAGGGGGAGGGAGAGAGAGAGAGAGAGAGAGAGAGCAAAGGAGAGAGAGAGAGAGCGAAAGAAAGAGAGAGAAAGAGAGAGAAAGAGCAAAAGAGAGAGAAAGAGAGCAAAAGAGAGAAAGAGAGCAAAAGAGAGAAAGAAAAAAGAGAGAGAGAGAAAGAGAAAAAGAGAAAGAGAAAAAGAGAGAGAAAGAGCAAAAGAGAGAGAGAGAGAAAGCAAAAAGAGAGAGAAAGAGAAAGAGCAAAAGAGAAAGAGCAAAAGAGAGAAAGAACAAAAGAGAGAGAGAGAGAGAGAAAGAAAGAAAGCAAAAAGAGAGAGAGAGAGCGAAAGAGAGAGAAAGAGCAAAAGAGAGAGAGAGAAAGAGAGAAAGCAAAAAGAGAGAGAGAAAGAGCGAAAGAGAGAGCGAAAGAGAGAGAAAGAGCAAAAAGAGAGAGAGAAAGAGCAAGAGCAAGAGAGAGAGGAGGGGGGGAAAGAGAGAGAAAAACTTCTGGGATGGGATGGTTTAAATTCGACCCCTTGTGAAAGCTGGGACAAGAATTGGTTTTTGGAGGGGCTTCTCCTAAACAGCACAAAATACCCCCCTCCTTTTCTTTAATACCCCACTCGATAGATGTGAAAAATCAAGAGAGACTTTTAATCTGCAGTACATTGGGTTTTTGAACCAACTCTATACTACACTGGGTTTTGAACCAATCGACTGCTTTCTTAGATTAATCAAGTTTAATCTTATTTCGAGGCAGGAGAGGGGTTTCTGCATTAATGCCTCCGTGGGGGGGGGGGGAGGAAAAGAGGTCTCTTTAAAGGCCAGGCGATTCCCCCCCCCCCTTTGATTCATGTATGCAGATACATTGAGGTGGTTTTTTTTTTTAACTCGCTGAACCCACTCAGGTTTCTTGAACGAAATGACTCAAAGGTTTGATCAACCTCTATTAAATCGGCTTGATTTCAGCCTTTTCTTCGGTGCTCTCCGAGCTGGGTGGTTTTCTGGCAGACGTTTCGTAACCCAACTAGGGAACATCATCAGTGGTAGAAAGGAATGGGATTTGTGAAGAGGAGGAAGAGGAGGAGGAAGAAGACGACGGCTGTGGGGGTCTTTAGTGCTCTCTGAGCTTGTTTTCTTGGAGACGTTTCATTACCCAACTAGGTAGCAACATCAGTGTTAGAAGGGAGTAAGGTGGAGAAGAGGAGGGGGAGAAGAGGAGGAGGAGGACTAGGAGAAGGAGAAACCAAAGGGGAGAAGAGGGAGAAGGAGGACTGTGGGGGCTTTGGTGCTCTCTGAACTTGCTGCTTTTCTTGCAGACGTTTCATTACCAAACTAGGTAATGACATCAGTGTTAGAAGGAAGTAAGGTGGAGAAGAGGAGGAGGAGGAGGAGAAGGAGAAGGAGGGGGAGAAGAGGAGGAGGAGGACTAGGAGGAGGAGAAGCAAAAGGGGAGAAGAGGGAGGACTGTGAGGGCTTTGGTGCTCTCTGAGCTCGCTGCTTTTCTTGCAGACGTTTCATTACCAAACTAGGTAACGACATCAGTGCTAGAAGGAAGTAAGGTGGAGAAGAGGAGCAGGAGGAGGAGGAGGAGAGGGAGAAGAGGAGGAGGAGAAGGATTAGGAGGAGGAGAAGCCTCGGTTCCCAGACCTCCGTGGAGCAAAGCAGCTTCTCTGACTTGAATTTGGCGGAGTTGCCACGTTGGGTTGCTGGGGCTGAGTTCTGGAGACCCCCCCCGCGAGGCTCCCGATGTGGGCGAGTAAACGCAGGAGGGAAGGAGAGGCAGATACAGCAATAGCTCCTGTCTCAAGAGGGCTGCATCTCGTTACCGTAGCTTGCATATCTTGACAAATGTAACAGATGCCTAACTGGGCTGACTGGCTTGCCCAGGGAGCGAAATTTCACTTTATTCCCTGGGGAGAATTTGAACCCAGATCAGGCTGCAGCTGAGGCTGGCTGGACGACGACGACAACGACTCTCCTTCGGTCCCTTTTGAGGCGTACTCAGGGAGGCTGTGGTGAAACACCCTGCTGGACGACTTCTCCTCTTCCTCCTCCTCCTCCTGCTCCCTCGTAAACCCCACTTCCTTCCAGTATTGATGACATTACCTAGTTGGGTTATGAAACATCTGCAAGAAAACCACCAAGCTTAGAGAGCACCAAGGATTCCACAGTCGTCCTCCTCCTCCTCCTCCTCCTCCTTGCAAACCCAACTCCCTTCTAAGTACTGATGATGTCACTTAGTTTGGGTAATGAAACATCTGCAAAAAAACAACCAATCTCAGAAAGCACCAAGGACCCCAGAGTTGTCCTCCTCCTCCTCCTCCTCCTCCTTGCAAACCCAACTCCCTTCTAAGTACTGATGATGTCACTTAGTTTGGGTAATGAAACATCTGCAAAAAAACAACCAATCTCAGAAAGCACCAAGGACCCCAGAGTTGTCGTCGTCTTCTTCTTCTTCTTCTTCTTCTTCTTCTTCTTCTTCTTCTTCTTCTTCTTCTTCTTCTTCTTCTTCTTCTTCTTCTTCTTCTTCTTCTTCTTCTTCTTCTTCTTCTTCTTCTTCTTCTTCTTCTTCTTCTTCTTCTTCTTCTTCTTCTTCTTCTTCTTCTTCTTCTTCTTCTTC